CGCGCACGAGGCCACGAGCAGCGCGAGGAGGAGCGGCGGGGGCATGGCGGCGGGGGGGAGGGGGCGCTCCTGCCGCCCCCGGGGCTTTATAGCCCCCTAGGGCATGGGGGAGGGGCAGGGCCTTCCTATGCATCTGTCTGGTCGCTCCCAAGTTGTGAGGTGGATGCCCCAGGCAGGCTCTTACTTCTCTACAAGTTGGGGGCAGCCAAAACGCAGCCTGCGGGGCGCTAAAAACATTTAGAAAATTAACATCTATTTGCCCCTGGCTGCCCGTTGCGCACCCCTTGATGGCTCGCCAAAACTCAGCAGCCCTCCACCCAAAATAATTGCCGCCCCTGGGCTATAAGTAAACCAAATAATCTAGCTGCAGGCCCCTGGCATATTAGTCAAGCTTCTAGTTTATTTTGAATGGGAGGAAAGTACATGATGTTTTGTACGTGATGATGCATCTCGCCACCTGCCACTCTCCGTTTCGGAGATCCAGATCCGCCCGCGCTGGGACTCGTGTTGGTGGAGAGAGAGGTCCTTGGGTTGCCTTCGCACAAGGGGCAGTCTCCATCCACCACGGCTGTGCCCCCCTTGTCCCTCTGATTTTTGCACATCCTTTTGCAGCATCCAGTGGAGTGAGCTTGGGTTCAGCAAAGCTCGTGCTCTCTGTCTGTCAGTCACATCTCCACCTCTGTTGCCCCCCATCCACTTGGCTAGATTTAAAGGGAAAACCTGTGAGGCGGGATCCATGGGGAATGTTGCAGTTGAGATTAAAGAATAACCCCAAGGAATTTGGTGTGATATTGAGCATGGATGCTGCTTTGACCGCAGCTGCCTGTGTGTCAGTCCTCACGTGTGCTGTGTTCAGGCATTGTGCCTTTACCCATAAATAAAGCAACCTGCCAAGAGCTGGTGTGGACTCTTCAGTGTAAGCTCATTGTCTTTTACTGGCTTTCTCGGTATCACTCGTTTTGGACAGGTGGGGAAACAGAGGCATGGACATCAAGGTGAGGCTTGTCAGGTGCCTTAGTAATCTCGGTAAATGAGTCTCATTGCAAATACATGGGATTTGTTGTCCGAAGCCACCGATTTCCCAAGACGTGATGAGTTGGGACCGGGAAGAGGACCCAAGTCCTGGTTCCAGGCTCCTTCCCTGGACATTTGCTCTGAGAGGAAATGAAATTGTGAGGCCTGTTGGGCAGTTTGCGGAGTGAGTGCTCTTCTGAGAGCGTTTGGCAGAGTTTCACCATCCATCCTGGTAGCAGATGGCAATTAAACCGAAGACAGCTTGCTGCCTTGTATCCAAAAGTGCTCAGGAAGAGACGAGGCAGCCAGAGCCGGGCTGCCCGTTGCTCACGGACCAAATCGGAAATGTCCGTGATTCAGAAACAGTGGCATTATGCGCATCGGCTCTGTTCTCTACTGTGGATACAGCCAGGCTGGCATAGGTAGGAAGCAGCTCTGAGAGTGGCTGCTTGTTTCTACTACTGTCTTTCCGTCTGATCTTGGGGCAAAAACCCTCCCAGCACTGATAGCAGCTGACAGAAAACTTAGTGGAGACAGAACCTGAAGTTCTCCCATCTTCTTTGAGCTGGAGACACTGAGCATGGTATGGAGATGGCACCACCTCTCTGGGTCACCTGTTCCAGTGCTTTACTGCCCTTCTCATGAGAATGTTTTTCCTAATATCGAACTTCAACTCCCCTTGCTGCAGCTTGAGCCCATTGCTCCTTGTCCTGTCGTCTGCCCCACTGAGAACAGCCCAGCTCCATCCTCTTTGCAACCCCCTGCAAGAAGTTGAAGGCTGCTATTCAATCCCCCCCTCAGTCTTCTCTTCACCAGACTAAAGGCCAATTCCCTCAGCCTCTCATAAGTCATCCCCCAGCCCCCTAACCATTTTCATTGCCCTCCACTGGACTGTCTCCAATTTGTCCTCATCCTTTCTGTAGTGAGGAGCCCAAAACTGGACACAGGACTCCAGGTGTGGCCTCCCCAGTGCTGAGTAGAGAGGAAGAATCACTTGACCTGCTGGGAACACTCCTGCCAATGCAGCCTGGGATGCCATTAGCCTTGGCAGCAAGGGCACACTACTGGCTCCTGTCCAGCTTATAGTTTCATAGTGCTTAGGGGCAGAAGGGACCTAAACAGATCATCATGTCCGACCCCCTGCCCAGGCAGGAACGAGTGCAGGGTCATAACACCCCAGCCAAATATCCTCTTGAAGACCCCCAAGGCAGGAGAAAGCACCCCCTCACTTGGGAGTCCATTCCAGAGTCCCCTGTCGCCCCCAAGTCCTTTT